AACGCTCCCGGTAAACGCATAGAATAATACCAGTATTTTTATGCAATTTTTTTGGACTTAGTGGGTTTTCGTTGTTAACATTCCGTTTAGTTCTGACATTAAAATACACTAAGTGCATTTAGTGCGTTTTCCCTGTTGTAATTTTTCGCAAAATGGACTTAAGTAATTTGGACCCCGACTTAAAAATATAAGGATGCCGAAATTGGACTTAATGGGTTTTTCATGTTAAAGACCATGAAAAACTGGACATAGTGGTTTGTTTAATCCAATTCAGCCAAAAATGTGACTTAGTGGATTTTCGCTGTACGCCCACGATATTATTAAACAGTTCTTTACAATTTACATTACATAAACTAAAACTTAAAAAAATAATATCACTACATCTGCACTTTAAGTTATTTTAGAAAATGTTCAAAAAATCCGCCACTGTTTTGAGTTGCATCTTTTTAAAACTAAATTACTACCTATTCTCACAGAACGACCGGTCGACTTGATTAAACTTCTCTCGCACCGCCACTTCAAGTGCCTCTCTTAATTCATATTTTTGTAGAATTAGGGACAATTTTTAAAACAGCCAAAATTTGTTTTTTCGAAATATTTAGTAAGCCATGAACTTTTTCAAAAATCTGAAAGACGCATATTTATGACCCCACAAAACTGTAATTCTTTCCCCATTTAACCGACTCTATCGGCCGTATTCATAGTCGAGCGCCAGCCGCCCGCCGAAAAGAAGCGCTCGCCGAAGATTTCTCCGGCGAGCGCTTCGATATCGGGAGAGAAAAAAAGCTCTTTCATAGTCGGCCACAGAATATACTAACGAAAAAGAAGTCCAAGTTCCTTGTAATAAATCGGTTCCATTTTCGTAACGCCATCTCTCGACATAGCTGACATTATAGGTTAGCCAAAGGGGTGCGGGGCCGGGGGGAATTGTAAAATACACTTTTTTATTTTAATGATTTTTATTCGCAATTTGCAATTTTATTTTTAAAACATATTATGTGAAACAATCACATAATATGTCTTAAAAATAAAATTACAAACGGAAACAAAAGGAATTAAATAATCTGAAAATTTACAAAGTTTATTGATAAAAAAGTTAGGCTATGCAAATTGATAAGTATATTAAGTATAACCTCTTTGGTATAACATTGTTAAACAAACATTAACAAATCATAACATAGAAACAATCATAGAACTAAAAAAAGTACTATTACATAAAAACAGGTGATACAATACTTCAACATTAATTTTAACATAATATCAAAACCGAAAAATCAAACTGCAAACACAACCACACTTATCACAACAGAAATTAACACACACGTCCGCGGCAAATGCCCAAGAAAGACTGATCATTCTGATTGGTCCTGGTCCGGTCGTAGCTCACGTCGTATTGTCGGTAAGCAAAATCCCTGTCCAAAAATTTGACGATCAGCGCCATCATCCGTCATAATTGGGAAACTTTTGCTGGAACCATTTTTAATATTTTACTTACATGGCCCTGTAGTCGGCCGCCAGCGCACCGCTGGCTGGCGAAAATGACGGCGCGTCGCCGACAAAATTTCACTTCGGGTGGAGGGTTTTAACAACAGGGAACATGTTTTCTTCCTTTTTCTACACAAAATCGGTTATACGAACTTTAACATTCTCTAAATATTTAAATATTAATAATATAAATATTTTATTGATATTGGGTAACTTAAATATTTTATTGATGTGTCCATTATTTTGTTATAATTCGTTTTTAAGTAATGAATAATATCTTCGTAATCCTTCACTTATAGTAAAAAGATTTACAATTTTTTATATACATATTTTTTTGGCTAGGTATATTTTTGGGTCATAATAAAAAGGATATTAAGTTAATAATTTACATAATGGGGAATTCCATAGGTCTGTTCGGTTTTATTTGAAAGTTTTATGGATTCGTTTTTATTACGTTTATAAATTTTTATAGACCTTAACTGTGCCTTAACCTTAATCTATTGGTGCTGTGTTAAGGATTTTAAAATTATTTTAAGGGAAAATATGACCAGAGTAGAAATAATTTATATTTTTAAATTGGCTCTATTTTTGTTTTGTGTAGATGACTGATGTTTGGTGAATTTGGTATATTTTTTCCAGTTTGTGTAAATTACAAAGAGAATTAATGTAATAAACGTAAAAACAATAGGAAAAATAAAAAATCATAAACATAAGAAAAACAAAACGATAAAACATTTAAATGGTCAAATAGACGGACGGAATTGATATGCCTCAAATGTAATAAATAATGGCCTCAAAAATACGAATGTCATCGTTCTCGTTAATCGTCACAATATTATAAATATCCATAATTAATTCAGTTTGCTTGGTGCTTCTTTCAACTAGAGAAATAAACCAGACTAAACTGGCCGACCGTCCGGAGATGGTAAGGACATGCTCCAGTCGCCGCCCGAAAATCACCGGATGGGGTTTAAACTGCGCAAGTGTTCTTCGCCTGGAGATCGACTATGAAACGGAAAAAAAATGCTTATCCAATCGCCCGCCGGCGAGAGAGCGGTTACTCTATATGACGGATGTGCGCACGCGTTACTCGGAGAGCGCTCGACTCTGAAATAAGAACGAAGAATTTCGGGAAAGCTCCCGCCAGCGGGAGGCTGGCGATCGATTGTGAATACGGCCGTATATCTCCAGTAGTTTCCGAGAGACCCATAGAGAACATCGTAGGAAACTCACCCTGTATTTCAAAAATTGAATTGTTTGAATATCATAATATAATATTGGCCGTAGCTGTCATGGAATTGAGCGAGCGATTAAAAAATTACAAGATTAAACGAACTTGTGAAGTTCGATCGTAATTATATGAGGCGCTTCGTTCGAAGAGATCATTTGAAAGTAGACTTTGTAGTACGGCTTATGTACGCTCTGTGGCCACAATATTTAAAGAATAAAAAATTTACTCTGTGGTATTCTCGGCTACTCATCACCTCACCTATACGTTACTAACTTCATACTTTTAAAGAACCGATTGAGAACTTTATTTGAAATCGGGAAAAAAGTTGATTTACTAATTTTTCCCTGGGTTTCATGGACTATTCACATTGGCTCTTGGTCCATGATAAAATAGGGTGCGGTGATCACTCCGATCTCTTCGAACGAAGCGCCTCATATAATTACGATCGAACTTCACAAGTTCGTTTACTCTTGTAATTATATTTCGGCGCTTCGTTCTCGATATCACTTGAAAGTAGACTTTGTAGATGTTTAAAGGATCGGGAAAAATTAAATCAGCTTTGATAATATAACAAAATAAAATGTCATATTAAGCCAAATGAATACATTGTGAAGAGAATCAATTTCATAGATATCTATAAAATTTGATGCTTGAAGTCTTCAATATATTAAAAAGTAACACAATAAACATCTATCCATATGCACAAATAATCTATTAAACCAATTTTAAGACAATGACAAAATAAACTTATATTTAAATAAGGCCAGCTATGCACGCATGCACCTACTAAAATAAAGAGAATCGTCCGATAAATACGTAGACGAATTCTAATGACCTAAAAAGATTACATAATAGGTAACATAACATAAACAGAGCAAACAATACTTATTATTGTTTCAACATGCAAAATGCAAATTCTTCTGTAAAAAAGTAATAGAATTCTTCGACCATCCTGCTGATCTACGAATGGTACTTAGTAGTAACCCATTCTTGTAAGCTGCAGAAGTTGAAGCATGTCTTACAGAATAACCAGAAAATATTTTAGTATCAATACCAGCAGCCTTAAGGGTACTCTTTATCCAATTACTAATAGTCTGGGATGTAGCCGTTAAATGAGGTTTTCTCGTCGACAAAAACAAAAAATCCTGTTTTTGTGTTCGAAAACTTGCAGTTCTTTGTATACTATAGGCACACATTATCGTGTTGAAGCTACACACACATTGGGTCTATCCTTAAAAAACGGCAGTTGTAAACATGGTTGTTCCCTTCCTATGGACGTAGTTTTCAAAATTTCAGCAACAAAAATCTGAATTTATTCAGTGTCAATGTGAATATTTTCGACCCTAATTTTTGCTAATGTCTGCAACCGTTGAGCTGACGTCAATGCCATAAGAGTCGCTAACTTACGTGTTAAAAGTAATAACGGTAATTTGTCATTATCTCCTAACATATCTAAGTAGTCTAATACTTTACCAGTGTTCCAAGTAAAAAAATATTTCCTCTGTTGAGGACGTAGTCGGTACACAGTAAAAAATTGAGTGTTAAAATTTACACTCAAATTACACTCAAAGGTGGTTCCTATTTGTCCACACTGGTGAGTGTAATTATTATTGTTCCTAAGTATGGTGAAATATTGGTGTGATTTAACCTTTTAGGTGGGGTTAAACTAATCCAATTTAATATCTTTTTTTCCCGAGCTAAAATTAAAAAAGCCAAGAAGAGAGTGTATTTTTACCAATTGTGAGTGCGTTTTTGACTACGGATAAAATCTTTTAAAACCATTTTTAAATGTAAAAATCACCAAGCGTAATGGTAAATAATCAATTTTTAAGTGTAAAAATGGTTTTAACTGAGTGTCAAATATACATAGTTTGGGTGTTAAAATAATTTATCAGTATGGTTAAATACATTTATTAGAGTGTAAATTTGATTTCAGTTCGTGTACTTACCTATATTTAAAATTTAAGGTGGGAAAACATAAAAAAAGAAAAAAATTAAAAATACGAAACGTTTTTATTATATAATATAATAAATAATACAAAAATATACCTTAATTTAGGTAGGTGCATTAGGTAACAACGAAACAAAAAAATATTCCTTACTCTATAGGGAATTACACATTATGGGTAAACACAAAATAAAATATATAATATACCTTATTTGAGGTAGCTATAGGTAACAACAAAACAAAAAATATTCCTTACTCTAGGAAAATAAAAATATATATATATATATATATATATATATATATATATATATATATATATATATATATATACCTTATTTGAGGTAGGTAACAAGGAAACAAAAAATATTCTTTACTCTAGGAAACTATAGGTCAACGCAAAATAAAAAATATATATATACCTTATTTTAGATAGATTCCTTAGGTAATAACGAAACAAAAAGTATACTTTACTTTATTATACTACGGGCTACGCACACGCTGTGTAAATGTGACCCTTGATTGTCCCTTGGTTACCTTCTTAATGGTGATGTATGTATAGGCAAGCAGGAGCAATTTCCTGAGTTGTCTCCTATGTAGGGCGGCAGGGACTTTTGACAGCTTTTTAGGAGACCGCTTAGGAATTATGCTCCTGCTTGTCTATACATACAACACAATTAAAAAGGCAATCAAGGAACACATCCCTAAAATGCCCCTGAATTTGGCAGCCAGGCGAGTGCGTAGCCCGTAAGTCACGGATTATTAATTATTTTTAACTAAAATATACTTAGGTACTATGTAATAGGACTCTGAAACCGATTTACATTCATATGGTTCTTTATAAATTAAAAATTTTGGATCACAAAGGAGTATTTCACAATCAGGTACAACACGGAATGCATTTAAATTTGTTTTAAACTCTTTGGTTTCCCAAGACTTTGTTATAAAAAATGGATGTTCCTCTATTAATACTATTTTTAATATTTCATAAAAAACTGGTAAATTTTCATTGTTAAATTTTACACAAACTAGAAAGGAAGGTTTATACAAAAATCCATATTTTAAAAACTTGGTTTCGATAACTGTCACATTATTAGGAAGGTCTAATTCTTCTATTAAAATATTTTTAAACTCATAATTATTTAACTCAAACATTTTGACAGGACCCATTTCAATTGGGATTTCGCAAAGACTATTTATATTTACAGCTTGTTTTATTTGATGTCGTAGAGCCAAAGTGTGAGGAATATTTTTAAAATTTTTAAATTTTTGTACCAAATCTTTAAAGTACCCATGTTTTGCCTCAAAGCGCATTGCCCATAGGTATATTAAAGGCCCCAATTTTCTGATAGCATTTGGATAATGAATCATCATATGATGCTTTGGAAGAATATTTCCGCTATACTGTTTGACTAATAAATGATGTTCACAAATTAAATCTTCTAGAGTAGATGTCATTTCAATTGGAATTATAGGGGCAAAACATATATTCATAATTCTTAATAAAAATGTGATAATATTCCATCTGTCCCCAACTTCTAAAATAACATCACTTAGAATTAAAGGCAAATATCGTGTAAGAGTCCACGTTTGCGCCGCTCTTTGTCCTATACTACTTCCTGATTTTTCAATGTTGATAGGACTAGGCTTTGTGCATTGGTCAATTGTACCATAATTAAAAAAGAAAATTCGTTGATTAATTTCATTAAGGGAGATTTTTTTTTCAGAAACTAAATAGGTAATAATTAACTTAATTTCAAACTGAGCAACCCCTTCAAGAATATCATGCATTATATCTATAGATGGCGTATTTCCCAAATTAAAATATTTTAACTCATTTAAAATGCTTTTTTCTTTACTTCCATAATAGTTAGAACCAGGTTTAATTTCTGGCAAAGTGTTGAAAAAATCTTGATTGCGCAAGTGACAAAGATCATCAGATTCCCTAAATACGTTTTGAGTGTCATTTTTGTGCATTAAGCACATTCGGCAAAAATAGTTGGCACTGAAAGATTCCACCATACCTGATAACATATTGCCACCGAGGTTGTCAAAACTTAATGCAACCAACGTACCCTTTAGTTTATATGGTAAAAACGATACTTCAATTCCTTCGGTTTCTAATGTTTGCAAATCTTTTACAAAGGGTTTTAAAATGTCATTGATAGAATATTTTTTTAAATCGGAAGAGTAAAAAAGTGCTGCAACGTGAATATTCTCTAATTTACCCAGGAATATTGTTGGTATATTTCTTATGATAAAATAAAATGCACCGATTTTATGAATTCCAGTTTTGGAACCCAAAGGCGCACTGCATTCAAATTCATCGAAATAGAGTTGTATTTGTATTGCATTTGGATTATCCTGAAAAAAAGTATGGTTTTTATAATACTCACCGTCAAAAATTGTTTCTAAATTATTGCTGTTTATCTGAGAGACATATTCCAGGGTAAAATATTTTTGAATATTCTTGTTTTTTAGCAATGTAGATAACGTATTTTTAATGGGAATGTATATAAACGTATCTGTTACATTTTTTCCAATGTAAGTATTACTTATTCTATGAAGGGTTTGATCAGTTCGTACTCCCAATGCGATATTTACAGGTGAGACAATACTTTCAGAAAATGCTTTGTTAATTTTGTACGCTGAATTAAATTTTTGAATAGAAGAAGTAATATCTCTAAAAAATACAATACACTCTTGATCTGCACTTTGAGGCAAGAGAGAACGAATTTCTTCAAAAATATAAGTTAGGAGTTCATCAACATTTTGTACTATAGTAACTAGGGTAGTAACTGGCATTCCATTTGATATTAATTTTGAAATAAAAGAAACTATCTGAAAATTCACATCGGACATTCTTGTCTCGACATTGCTCTCACACTCTTTTTCGATGTTGTGATCCATAAAAGGTAAGGGTTCAGGATGATTTGAAGTGCCGGTGGAAATGTAATCATTGGCATTATTGTCGCTATCATTATTATTATGTCTCCCATTGTTTTCTTTTGTTGTAATATTGGATAATTCAGTATTTTCTTGGTAGGCTGATGGTAAAACTTTAGGTTTTAAAACGCATTTTATTAAATGTTTTTTGTAACCACTAAAAGTATTAAATGTAGAAAGACAACTGCTTCTAAAACATCTTAATGAAGAATTTTCTCGAGAACCACGGAAATGCCAAAGTCGCAAATGTTGAAATAATTTAAATATTTCTGAAAATCTACGTGAGCATATAAAACATTTTAAATGCATTTTAACATTAAAAATATTAATAAACCTACTACTAAAGCGTGACGAATTGATTACAGTACGGGGAGTAATATCTAATAACCTTAACTATTGTTTTCTTCAAAATGTACTATTCGATTTCTTAACTCTCGCATTTTTGTTGTGTAGTGAATTTTTTCTCTATCTATTTCATAAAAAAAGTCTTGTATAAACGTAAAAAAGGTTTCTAGACCAGTGTCAAATTTTACTTTGAAAACAAAGTGTACTTTAAATAGCAAATCAAATGCGTCTAAAATGTTATTTTTACCTGTGTCTAAAAATCTATTGTCAAAAACAATTTTAAAGTCGTGAATGGCTGCCCTTTTTGATCCAATGGCCACAAGAAAAGGCTGGAAACTCTTCCTCACCTCTAAAATTTTATCCAAAGGATCACCCACCTAAAATATTTGAAGTTTATTAAAGAGTTTTGCCAACGCCCGTTTTTATGATAATGATGGTAACCGATCCGCACAGTAACTCTTAGCGACCGGTGTCCCATTTTCGTATAGGTTAGGTTTTACGGGCTATCGAGTAGAGATAAATGAAGAGGGAAGCCCGTTTTGTTCTTGATATACAGGGCGAAATAAAAATATATCAATTTTGACACACCCCCGTTTATCTTGGTTAAGGTCTATTCTCACACGTCAGTTAGTATTAGTGCCAGATGTCGCGAAAACCGCATCTCTCTATCTCTACTCATAAGCGAGAAATCCTGTAAAACCTACGACAATGGAACACGCTATAAGTATATTGCAGAATTTTGACGTGTCGCATTAAGAACCTTTTAGTTACGAACAGATATTATAATAAGCGTTACTTACCGAACAAAAAATCAAGAGCTTATCAATAAGTGAATTCACAGTATCTCGCGAGGAGTTCCTATTTTTCTTGCCTTTTGCAGTGGATGGCAACATATGAATAATAGAAAGTAGTGCTCTCGTATTTTTGTCCCAAGCTAAAATATACATGGCATTAATAATAGTACAGGGTAATTTACTTTATTTTGTTATAAAAATAAGATATTTACCTTCAAGATCTGCCAATTTATTGGAAATTGTCGCCTCGTATATTTCTATGATATTTGCAGCCTTCTTTTCAAACTTCGCCACAAAGTTATTGGCATTAGCAGGATATAGCAAGCTGAAATCTTGTTCAATCTAAAATTATAAAAAATTAGGTTTTAAAGTTCACTAAATTAAAATGACGTGACATACAAGTCCTGGCGTGTCTAAAAATCTGGGATAATCGACAAATGAAAAGTCATTCGTTTTTCTACAGTTAAAAAGGTTTTTCATTTTTTCCATGATTTCCTTTTTCTGCGTCTTGCAGCAAGCATTTTTTAAAAATTCTATGTCTGCTACTTCTTGTTCTGTCAATGTTCTGGCTTTTTTTAAGGTTGGTTCATCTGATGAGTCATCACTATCAGATGTAACTTGTGGTGATAACTTTCGTTTGGAGCTTGGCACCATATTGGATCTTGCAACGGTTCGGAGCCTCCATGCCAGGTAGCCACTTGGGGTTCTTAAGCTGTCATTATAAAATATCTCCTAAAAATTTAAATCAATTTTAAGGCGCTAAATTAAAACCCCACATTGAGCAAGATATCTTTTTGAAAAAAAAAATTATTGGTAAATATCGAGGTAAATATGTAAATATGAGTTTATTCATAAAACAGCGATTTGACACTTTGCTCGTGATGTTTCGTTTAAAATTAAATTAATTTGCAATACATGTAGGTATGTACTTAACAACTGTCAAATCTCTGTTTTATTCGGATAAAGTCTCATATACCTATCATTAAGTTACATTGTTAGTTCATAATAATTATTATTGTACGTACGTATCCTCCTTTATTGCTGAGAGTGTCTCGCAGTTTTGGAAACAACTCGACTATTGCTTTAGCAAATTCAACCTTTATCTCTTTGCTCATACTTATGCCATATGTGTTGGTCATCATTCGGACTGTTAAGTTAACTAGTTCCCTCCTAGTTCGATTATTTAAAACTTGATTTTTTTCATATTCCTCTATGATATTTTGCCCTCCGTTGCATAAAAGAAATTCCTTCAACATCTAAAAGTTATTTTCTTTAGAGTGCAACATGAATTATAATCCTGTAAAATCGATAAGTAGGTAAAATTTAAGTTTCTAAATTAAGTTTGAATCAAAATTTCGGAATATATGACAGATTTTACCCTAAAAAAATACCCTTTAGGTACTCGATAAAGTTAATATTCGAATATAACTTAAGGCTACGAGTTACGATGAAGGATGATTCGGACTTTAAGTGGGCTATATTAAACTCGTATTAATACTTAATTATTACCTTTGAGTTGACATATTTTGCAGTTGAAGTGCTAAGTCCATCAGTTTCATTGTTTTTTACCATCGTATTTGGATTTGAAGGAACAAGAAATCCATCTGAGTCAATGTTAAGAATAAAAACATTCTCAGAATTCTCAGCGGATACAACTCGATTAAGACCACTTGAGTCTGAATTAATTGTACCCTTATCAGTAATATCGTCAGATATCATAGAAATAAGGTTACTATCGTTACAGTCTATAGTATCAGTCTTAGACAGCCATTTCTCAACTTCATCATTAGATGGTGTGTCTTTGTTTATTGATAGGGTTGAATCAGAAGATGAAAAATCATTAATTAATATCCCTCCGATTTTCAAAACACAGTTAGGCATTTTTAAATAGTCAAGAATACAGTCTTCTTCTATGACTGTTCCATCAGGATCGGTAAAGAAAATGTTTTCTTCATCGCCAATATTAAATTTCTTTTTAGCTGTAAAAAAGAGCTTTCTTAGATTTAAGTTTTACCTATTGCAAAAAAAGAATATGTTATAAGAAAAGGACCGCCAGAACTGTATTGTTTGTATATTACATTTCAATGTACATAATAACATGTATACAAGATACAAGTAGGTATATGGGTTTCGTCGAGCTGTCAGTATTTTTCCTTCAAGGCCTGTCACGTCAAGATCGCGTGCTGCACGAAATTTATTATTTATATGTTTTTTTATTATTATTTAAAATGTATTCAATGCAGCACGTGATCTTGACATTACATTGGAGGAAAACTAACCTAAAAACTGACAGCTGCACGAAACAAATAGCAAATTGCAAATCTGGATAAATGAAATTAATCTCGGATATGTCAAAGTGTTGTTAAAAATGTCATCTTTGTGCTTCAGTTTTGGGGACAGATTGAAAAGATGACATTTACAACAACATTTTGACAGATTCGAGATAAATTTCAGATTTTTTGTCTCTCTTTCTTGTAGACAGCTTCCAATACCTAGTTGTTTTTTATGTATTCAGATTGGTTAGATTTGCAAAGCCGAACGTATAGCTTATTCTATAAAATAGCGATTTGACACTTTTCACACACGATGTTTCATTTAAATTTAAATTAATTTGCCATGACAACTATCAAATCTCTGTTTTATTATAGGATGAAGTAGCCTATATGTACAGGATGATCATTTATAATGTCCCCCTGTAAGTATTTTATTTGACGTTTGGGGAAAAAATGTCAAATACAAAAGTTTCACAAAAAAGATTAAGCTATTTGCAAGACATATTTTTATATATACAGGGTGTTGCAGAAGTCGCCCATGGATAAAAGTTATATTTTTTAAATGGAACCCCCTGTATATTTTCAGGTTAGGACGATTCTTTTCTTCTGGTTCAACAATTTTCAAGTTATTTAAGTTTAAGGTTGCATTGAATTTACGTTAACTTGATTTACTCTGCCATGAGTCCGCGTAAGTGCCATGAATTCAATGCAATTTCAACATTAAGTTGCTAAGCAACTTTATGTTATGTGAATTAAGTGAATTTGCACTGAATTCATGGCAGAGTAGATCGACATATGGTATATTCGGAATCATTCTCTTTTCAGTCCCAAAGTTTGAAGTCTCTGTCACTTTCCAAAACAAAATGGTACTCTGTCAAAATTTCGGAATTTCTGAAAAATTTTTAATTATAAGAATAAAATGTATTATTACTTTTCAACACTTTGGAGACTTTTCGAACTAACTTCACACTCATTTTCATGGAAATATATTCGAAAAGTCTCAAAAGTCTAAAAAAGTAAAATTTTTCAGAAATTCCGAAATTTTGATATAATACCATTTTGTTTTGGAAAGTGACAGAGACTTCAAACTTTGGGGATGAAAAGAGAATGAAAAGACCTTTCAAATGAGGTATTACTCGACCCCATATTCCACTTGAAATTTTAGGGGCTCGGCCCCCCCCTTTCTAGGGGGCTGAACTTAAAGTGTTAAAAATTGTTACAAAAAATGTCCCCCTTGGTAAATCAGGTGACGTGTTCGAGCGATTTTCCGTAAAATTGAAACAGAGTGAGATATTCAACCTGTTTCGTTTTAAATGGAACACCCTGTATGATGTCACATATTAATATCACTGACAGTAATATTTTATAGGTTTTTGTTGCGGTTGACGTTTTACGTTCAAAAGTTAACCAACTTTTAACTTCGACAGGAACGTTGACCTTGAAACGTTAGTAATAGCCAATAGAAATGCCTTATTTTTTAGCGCCTCTATTTAAAAAGAATGCGATCATAACATAACCTCAAAATTGTTTCAGTTTCTTTTTGGAAAGTAGGTATGAAATTTCGAAATTTTCTTTAGAAAATGCAGAAAAAAGGTGATTTATATTAAAATTTAGTACTTTGTAGGTGTTTCTATTTGATGTTTTGTTTGATTTGATTCTAACCCATGATGGACAACCCGAAATGTTAACTAAAACGTTTTATATCTATAACTAGCAACAAATTACCGTCGTTATCGTTCAACGTCAACCGCAACGTCGAACCGCACCGTTTTCAATGTATAATTGGGGCTTAAGTGTTTTAGAGCATATAAAATATACTTACTTAAAAATACTATTAAAATCCAGGAAAGAAATAATTATATTGTAGGTATGTAGGTAGGATATCGAGTCTCGCATTTCTATAAATCCGCCATTAAAATTTACAAAGCACTAAACTACTAAACATAATCTTAGATATTTACTTACCTAACTCGACTATTTCAGAGTATGTCACATTATCTGATGTTTCATCAATTTTGGCGTATTTACTTTTGTTGTTTAACTGAATTTTAAACATCATTTTGCCAAAATCATGAGCACTACAACACACGAGCAACCCGTACAACCACCAACCACTAACTGACCAACTTGAAATTTGAAATAGGCAAATAGGCGTGCAGAAACGCGAAAGCAGTGGGGATGTGCCACGTGGATGTCACCCAATATGATGGTTTTTTAACACTCGCGAGTGTTAAAACTGCGTTTTGCAGTCTTTATAACACGGTATGGGTGTTTTTAAGACGTATGTAGGGCAAAAACCATTTCCTGAAAAGTAACGTTTACACTGATTATATGATTCTTACCAAATTATAAGTGAACTTTACACTCCACACACTAATTTCGCTTTTTTTTTGGTAGATTTGATTTTCAAAGTTTGCGTGTTATTATTTCTGTTTAATTTCATTAACGCGAGTGTAAATATTAACACTCTGATAATTTACCACACTAAATATCTTTTCTACCACCAGGTCATTTTTTACTGTGCATTTTCTTATATTGCTATTTTTTGACCGCAAATGGTAAAATCATAACTAAGAGCTTCTCGCCCGTCGAGTGAGATGCACCCTGTACACTACTACGCAATTTAGGATCTACGCGGATGGAGGGGCAGGGCGTAGGTAGATCGGAATGTATAGGTATAGACATATAGGTATAGAGTGGCGAAATTTTGGCTTTTTTATATCGCAATTTGTAAACAGCGCTTATTTGTAAATAACCACCGTTTTTGGAGAGGTATTTTAGATAACAATCGATATTTAGAAATGTTTTGACACCCTGGAAATACTACCACCGAGCACGTCATTGTTGCAACTTGCAACTGCGTTAATACGCCTGGCGGTGACCGCCTCATACTCTTTCAGATATTTAGCAGTAAAATAAAGAAACCTGTTATTTTTAAGCTGTTATTTTAAGCTGTTTTTTTATAAATAACTATAACAGTTTCAACTGTTATCTAAAAATAACAGTTTTGCCCATCACTAGTCACTCTAGAGAGTCTCCTCTTTAAATGATACAATTACAGTTACTGCATCTTCTAAGAGAATCAAATCATATTGGCACACTAAAAGAATTATATGTGTTCTATGGTGTGTTACTCTATTTATTTTCCTCATAAAGACTCATACTTTTCCAGATCAAACAAAGCGAAAAACTGCCAAGTAAACGACATCTAATTATGCGATTATAGCCACCCCGGAGCTTCTTGTTCACGTCGCAATGCGGCGCCGGTTTCCGGAGCCCCGCGGTTTCTTCAGGAGGGCGAAGGCCTGATTAGCACACACACACTCGCATATAAACACCTTCTGAGGCAAATTACGAGGTACGAAACGTTGGGAGATGGTTTTTGCGCGATTATTGTTGGCTCCCCTGCCCCCATTCCGTCCCTTTTCACGACGAATTGTCGTTCGACGGCTTAAATGGAAGTTTAATCCGATAAATATGACCTTTAGGTGTTATTTTTCGGGTCCAGGAGGTGTTGCCTATACGAAGGGTGAAAGGAATAAAGTACGTACAATAAATTCGGTTTGTTGTGTGACTGGGGTAATAGACAGAGAGTTTTTTTTAAGTAAAATGGCTTCCAACCAATCGACCGTGACTAACAAATTTTTCGTTGTCAATTTTGATTCATTCCAATCTTAGATTCCAATACTAAATCTGGATGATCTTGTTATAATAATTTTAATTTCTTTCATCTCAATGCCACAAAGTTCAAATTAGCTCAATAGGTTATACTTTAACGAAAAGTTAATCTTTCAATTAATAGTATATTGTTTTATAAGGAGTAAAATGACACTCTTTGAGGCGAGGCTGTACGTTTGACGAACGAACCAGCGAGTCCGACATACAGGCGCGAGGCACAACAACTCATTTTTACTCCGAATAGATTTGAAATTAGCGCGCGGAGCTTGTCGACCAATGGTGCAGTTAGCACCTGTGACTTAGTGACCAAACCTGCGCAATATCATACCTTCTTTTCTTTGTATCATGGTCGGCACATTCTGCGCGCCAATTTCGAATCGACAAACAGATGACACAATAAATGTGAAAATGAATTTTCAAATGTCAAGCCCAATGGTTTGCCATAACTTTTGAGGTTATGTCCTAATTCTTACCCATTTTGGGTCATTTTTTATTAGTGGCAATTGAACAATATGGCTTTTTTTATATGACGCAGATGATATGCGCAAACTGAACAAAATTGGAGCCGCTATCGATCATACCTTGTTTTCTTTGTATCATGGTAATTATATACTTATCGAGAAACTATGGTTACGGCTGGTTGAATTTGACGTTTTATGTCAGTTTAGTAATATATTTTCGTACTTTTATGCTTAGGTTTAAAAGTGCTGTACTTTTTATGCCTAGGCGTTAAAATGACTTTCTTTATATTATCAATCACATCGCAAAAATTAATACTTTCCTGACGTTTAAAAAAAAATATTGTACTACATTAGGGTTGTCAATTGCCAGACGTTCGGTATTTCCGGGAAAATCCAGCATTTAGGTAAATTTTCCCGGATTAATCAAACTATAAAATCAAATATTATAAAGTTGATATAAACTAAAAATACACACTTATACTTAATACTATTCCATCACATTTTTCGATTGAGCTTCGTTCGTTTATATCTAATTACCCGTATTTACCTTCATTTAAGCTATATTGGTAACGTTTTTATTTTTTCAGATAAAAAACGAGATTGGTATGTTTCCAGTTCACTTCCTGTTTCATCGGAAATAACTACAATTTTTGATTTTGAAATGGCACCCTCGCTATATTTTTACTTTATTCGATAGAAAATGACACTTTGAATAGAATGACATATCATATGTGAACTTTTGACATTTTCGCTTAAAAAATTGTATTTTAAATTTTAATCGAGAGTGCCATGGCTGTGTTAAAAACACTCATTTTTAATCAAGGAACCTTGGAAAAATAGATTTTAATCTCAGTCTTTTTTTGATCATGCCAAATTTCAGGTTTTATAAATTACATAGAGGTGGCTTGCCACTGGCTCTTAGACTATAAAATTGATACTTTTAAAAGTTACGAATGTCTATTATTAATAAAAATCGTTATAAAAAATTATAATTAATATGCACACTTTTATAAATTTCGCAAATCTTTTTATAGCTTCGGGGTAACTCTAATCGCATAATTAGACTCCATTTCGCTTGACAGTTTTTCTCTTTGTACGTTCGAGAACGCCGACTTGTGCTTCAAAGATACGAAACAGCGAAGAAAGTCTTTTAAAAGACACTTTGAAAGCACGGTTTCTTTTACAGGATGTGGCAATTGAAATGCTCGAAGGCATGAAACTAATTAACACATACTCTTTTGATATTAATATTTAGACTCCTATCTGATGTGACAAAGAATATTCTTCTAATAAATATGATATTAAGAGGTGTAAATAAAATTCTTTGTAAAAATGGCAGTATTTTTACATCTTTTATTATGACGCTTGAAGAATGGCTACATAACGATGGGTGGCCAAAATAGATATCCGCATATCATCATTTGTTTCCTGTCATGAGCTTTTCTGTGACTGAAAAGCCCGATACGTGATGTTATCTCTCTTCCGCACTCCGGACATTCAAAAATCTCATTACTTTGTTGCCTCTTTATTTTTTGGTTGTCGTTATTAACTGAATTTACAATTCTCCTCCATTGCGTTCTATTGTGCGCTGCTTCCTCCCACTGAAGCTGCATACTTATCCCTTTTAAGTTTTCATGAAAACATCCTTGTATCTTTTGAGTTGTAGTATCTAGCTGATATCTTCAACAGATGCCTGATAAAAAACGAAAACATTCCTGAAGACTGGAACCTGGCGTACATCAGCTCTATCTTTAAGAAAGGAGACAAAAAAAGATGTAGCAACTACAGAGGCATTAGTTTGACAAGCTCAATGGGAAGGTTGTATGGCAGGATATTAAAAGAGAGAGTAGAAGAGAGCTTTGAAGAAATAGAAGAACAAGGTGGTTTCCGCGTGGGCGTTCTTGTACAGACAACATATTTGTGTTACAACAAATAATTGAAAAAAGGAGAGCTCGAAATTTGGACACGCATCTGGTATTTATAGATTTAGAGAAAGCCTATGACACGGTGCCTTTGAAGAAATTATTTGAAATCTTGGTTGAGGCAAATGTGAGTAAAACATATATTAATGCAATCTGGAATATGTACAAAAATTCAAAAAGTATGATCAGACAGGGGAAGTTCCTATCGGAATCCTTCCTGACATCTAAAGGACTTAGACAGGGGTGCAGTTTATCACCTACCTTATTTAAAATATATATACAGGAGGCATTGAAAAACTGGAGAAGGAAGAGTAGAGCTATGGGAATAGAGATTGACAACCACTGTCTATCGACCTTGTTCTTTGCAGACGACCAAGTTATTGTTGCAGGTTGTGAGGAGGATGCCGACTATATGTTGAGGAAACTTGATGAAGAATACGACAGATGGGGACTCAATATCAACCTCACAAAAACCGAATACCTGAAAGTAGGAGAAGAACAAACTGAAGATCCTAAACTACACATACATGAAATTAAAAGATGTAGCGAATATAAATATTTAGGAAGTATTATATCTGAAGAAGAGAACTCCAAGAAAGATATACATAGTAGAGTTCAACAAGGTAAGAAAGTAATCGGTCTTTTAAACCCTCTCCTGTGGTCAAATAAAACATCCATCCAAACAAAGATAAGGATTTACAAAGCAATCGTAGATCCAATTTTAACATACGGTGCCGAATGCTGGTAATTTACAGCAAAAGAAAGAAGGATGGTCGAGTCAGTGGAGATGGACTTTCTCAGAAGAGCATGTCGCATATCAAGGATGGAATACATTAGAAATGAGGAAATCAGGCAAAGATCAAGGCGAATATATACCAGCACCGACAACATCGAATCGAGACAGCTACTATGGTATGGGCACGTAAAAAGAATGGGAGGGGAAAGATGGCCAAAAAGGGCAATGGAGACACATTAGAAAGTGTCGTCCCCAAAGCAGA